TTTTTTAGAGTAACCTTGGCGGTCTGCAAGATTGAAATTGCAATGCATAAAGGGGGTTTACCATTTTTCAATATAAATTGCCGTCATGTCTCAGGCAAATTCTGAATTTATTAATTTATTTGTTCAAATGCAATAATCATAATAATCATAATCAAAATCATTTATTCAGTTTAGGCTGTTACAAGCACATATGAATGTCTAGAAGCTACGCCATCGGTTCGTAAATCTACGGCGGGAGACCTTGTACTGAGAGGAACCGCCAAGAAACTCAGCAAGGGCTGTTTTTTCTCCCTGTTTTATCATTTACAGAGTCGTCAAGTTCAAAAATGACTTCAGGGATGATTCATGAAGTCACCTTTCATTACATAATGTGAAATTATACATTAATTGTTCACCTGCATTTTGAGTGCTGTGTCACACAGTATAAATATAAACAGAGTTATTTATAATAGGTGTAATTAAACATTCAATCATCTCCGCTCCTAGCACCCGTTCACGAGCATGACGCATGAACCAGCCATCGCTTCGCTCAACTAATGAATAGCTAAACACTAATTTTCTTTTTTTTGCCTGGTTTTTTTATAAATATTGTAGCATGTAGATAAACATCCTCATGATAAACTGGGAGCGAAGTAAAAAAAAAAAAGTTGGTACAAGAAAATGACACCAGTCTCGAAAAGGTGCAGCAGTTATAAACTGCCACACCAACCATTCTCAACTTTGCGACCTGCAGAAATGCTTATTCACGCCTCTCTTCAAGGACCCCAGATTGTAATGTGCGCGACCTTGCCACCTGCAAGATGTTTCTTCCTTTACGCTTCTTTTAAAGGATCCGATTTGTAGGATGGGGGGGGGGGGGGGGGCGCATGAGCGCGCATCATCATCAGTCTATTAATGTCCCTGCCCTGCCTAGTAACGTCACTGCTAGGGCACAGGCCTTCCCTATGGATAGACTTATATGAAGAAGATTGGGCCATGTCCCACCAGTGCGGATTGGCGGGTGCTAACGACTGCAGATGCAGTTAGGACCAACGGCTTAACGTGCCTTCGGAAGCAAGGAGGAATTCGAGAGATATATTTTTGGTCACCCATCCGATGACCGACAACTGCGAAAGTTGCTTAACATCAACGATCGCAGTCGAACGCGCTAACCACCTGTGCCAACGAGCTCCTCGTGAGCGGGCAAAGCATTCCATTTGCAGATATTGCAAAGAAAGATATACACACCAAATCGCTGTGTTTGACTCAATATGGTCATTCTTCTTCTTCAATAATTGTTTGATTGATTTGACATACTTATTTATTTATTTACTAATTTAGTACACACACCATAAAAAATAAGAAATTTGTAAAAGGGCACTGCTTATTTCATATTGAAATTTCTTCCAGCACGCCCGCGAAACGAAAAAACATAAAAAAAGGTCGTCACTGTGTGCCTCCTGAATATAAATCATCATCATCATCATCATCATTTCAGCCGAAAGACGTCCACTGTTGGACATAGGCCTCCCCCATGGATTTCCACAACGATCGGTCCCATGCTGCCCGCATCCAGCAAATAACAAAATATAAATAAGAAAATACAATACTTACATAAACAAAACCTACATATATATCTACCTAGATGTACAAATAAACATATATACTAAAATAAAATATAGAAGTGTTAAAAGGAGAAGCAATACAGTTCAGAAACAGTGATTCAAGAGGATAGATAGTGTTTCTTCAACCGTTTTTTTAAATGTAGCAACAGTTGGACTGCCTCTGATTCCTGCTGGCAGCGAGTTCCACAAGCGGACGGCATGTACCGTAAAAGAGTATGATGCAAATTCGGTTTTATGAATAGGACATTTGAGTACTGATTTGAGATGGGACCTGCAAGAAACATTAGGCGAGTGGGTGAAAGAAAACCTCTCACGAAGATAGGAAGGATATGAAGGATTGTATAGGATATTGAAGAGGAAACAAAGAATTCTGACATTCCTGAGCAGACGTATGGGGAGCCACTTGAGTTCCTTCCAAAAGTTGGAGACGTGATCATACTTATTTATTTTATCACTAGTGGCCCGCCCTCGCTTCGCTTCGGTGTAGAGCTGTAGTGTAGACTATAGATTTTGTACTCAGGTGTGTATTGTACACATTGAATTTATTTATTTAATTCTTTTTTTTATGATTCTTTTTTTATTGAATAGGTAATAATGTTAACTTTTTTAAATTAGTAGAGTATTATAAACGTAAGAGTAAACAAATATAATCAGAATGCTCCGAACTGCTAAGCTATCAGGAGTTACACGTATTATTGTGAGTAAACCATAAAAGATAGACGTATGCTGTTGCAGGATATTTTTTAGACAATTTTATGTAGAATATTTCCGTCATACATGATTTCTATGTAACTTTAACCATTAAGGCTGCGCATGCGACGGAAGCTTAAAAAATGGAGTAACTTCTCCCGTTTTCCCAACATTTCCCTTCACTACTCTGCTCCTATTGATTGTAGCGTGATGAAAAGTATACTATAACCTGCCCAGGAGTATGAAGAATAATTGTACCAAGTTTCGTTAAAATCCATTGAGTAGTTTTTATTTCTATAAGGAACATACACACAGACAGACAAAAATTTTACTGATTGCATTTTTGGCATCAGTATCGATCACTAATCACCCCCTGATAGTTATTTCATGTACAGAATTGACATCTCTACAGATTTATTATAAGTATAGATAACATTAATTAATAATTTTACAATGGGCGATTTGAATTTGACTTTGCTTCTATGTACCTATCTAATTAGACATTACTTTTTTTTCCGTTTTTCTAATTTAATTGAATTTAAATGAATATCTGCTATGAACGTTTCATGTTTTTATGTATGACTTGCCGACGTTCTGGATTTTTCTGTAAGCCGGCATTTGTAAATTGGAATAAATAAATTCTAATGTGCTGTGGATATGAAATTTATTAATGTGATTCTTTTTACATCGCCACATTTTTTTTCGATTATTTATAGCATGTCGCTTAAAATTTTTAATTGTTATTGAAAGTATCAGACCTAAGACATTTATTTCTCAAAACAGAACACAAAATTCACTTACATGAGAAAACAAAAGAATAATTAATCCAGTACGTGTGTTACACGAGACGAAATTAACGAACAATTTAGTTGGACATACACACACTTATATCACAAATCACTTTTGATTTTTTTTTTACTAAAACTGTTGGTAATTTACAAATTGATAACTTGGTTCGAACAATGCATATAAATATTTGTTACGCAAACATCTGTAAAATGTGGGTAGTTCATTTTCTTTAAGAGGAGGAAATATTGGTGGTGCAGTGCGTGGTAGAAAACTCGCCTGCCACCCAGATAGCCCGGCTTCGATTTCCAGCCAAAAAAGGATCTTTTAACGTGAAACATTTATAACATCGCCACAAACTTTTCGTTCAACTTCAGCGTGTTGCATAATCATTCAGTCCTTATCAACAAGTGTCCGTGATTCAGTTGTAGAAAGCTCACCTGCTGAAAATTTGACGCGATGTAAAACACACTAATAGTTTCATATGTATAGTGGTTTAATATGACTACACCAATTTTAATATATCCCTATATCACCTTCACATACTATCCATCAACATTATGAAAACATGTTCAAGAACATACAGCATACATCCAAAAATAAAATAAAAGTACAATTGATTAAATGCCTAGTCAAGCGTAATTTCCGTTCTAAATAAATTCCACCGTTTCTTATAGCCGATTCTATCCTTTAACTATGGCGGAGCAAAAAAAAACTATTTAGTTAATAGTTTTTCTTGGCTCACGAGCCATAGGCGGCCGTGGGTAGGCTTGTTGAAAATATATCGATGTATCGATATTTTTTGTTCGATATATCGATATTTTTTACCGATATATTTTGATTCGATATATCGATACATCGATACAAAATAACCAATATCGAAATTCGTATCAAAAACGATATTTTTTTAATTATTAGCGGCATATCACGATCTAACTAAATTCGTATCTGGAAAAATCGTAACTGGATCTCAGATTAATGATATACAACATATCTATGATCTGTACGGTATTTAGTATTGTCTATGTCATCATTCGAAAATAGGGTCTATTTTTAGGGAGATAATTTTCATTCCATTATTATTCCGCGTGTCATATTTCGTGAGCGATATTTTTGGGAAAATTGGTCCGATATATCGATATATCGATGTTTTTTTCGCGATATATCGAAGCCGATATTGATATTTTTTAAAATATCGATGTATCGATATATCGATATTTTTTTCAACTTTCGACATCCCTAGCCGTGGGTGAGTAGATTTTTTTTTATTAAAAAAACAACAAACAGCATGTTTCACCTGCGCGCGCAGAGATTGGCAGGTGGCCTGCGCGGGAGCATCTGTGCACAACTACAGCGCTTATACCTAAGCTATATACGAGTATATACCTATACTAGAACTGCATTCACAGATTTTTTTAAATCGCCTGTTACAACTGGGAGTCGCTCGATGGCGCAAGTGGTTAGCGCGTTCGGCTGCGATCGTTGAACTTAAGCAACTTTCGCAGTGGTCGGTCATTGGATGGGTGACCAAAAATTACTATCTCGAGCTCCTTCGTGCTTCAGAAGGTACGTTAAGTCGTTGGTCCCGGCTGCATCTGCAGTCGTTAGCACCCACCAATCCGCACTGGGCCCGCGTGGTGGGTCATGGCCCAATCTCCCTATTCCATCCATAGGGAAGGCCTGTGCCCCAGCAGTGGGAACATTAATAGGCTGATGATGATGATGATGAACTGGGAGTCAAACTCGTGAAATATGAAAAAAAACACATGACATATGTTATGATAACCATCGGAAGGGAACCTTATGATTAAGGATTATTTTTTCCTAAATAAAATAGCAGTTTAACTGGTCCCATGTGTGAAGACCTTTGTCTTGCACACACATAAAGTTAAAAAGTACGTTGGTAAGTCAGAAAGTTACCTGTTCACATTTCAGCCATAGTATGATGGTGGCTCCTGGTCTTCTGAGCTGGCCCTCGCTCAGCTTCTGTTCTGCCAGGATCTCGCTGTGTAGACGGCCAGTTTTCAGCCATACCTCGATAGACCTGGTGGAAAGAACAAGATATTGAAAACCTTTATATGGTATTTAAACATTTTGTAAGTAATATTCAAGGAATTAGTAATGAGGTGGAATGAGATGAGGCAAATATGGGGTAAATCCGTGAGGAACATTTATTAACTTTTTATTTATTCTTCATTACCCCAAATCAAATGGCGAACTTGTCACATACATTCTTTACCAGACAACCAGTAACATGTTGAAGACAACAACATAAAACGTAAAGATAGTTTGCAAAGATTTTAAAAATGATTTTATTTATCATAGATTTCCATTTTGCGCACTATTTAAGCCACAAAGTCTTAGGAAATCACATCAAACAATATCATCATCAGACGCCACTGCTGGGGCACACATCTTCTCTATGCATAAATGGAATAGGGAGATTGAGCCATGAGAAGCGGATTGGTGAGTGGGTGCTAACAGATGCAGCCTAACAGATCAACAGCTTATTATGGCTTCCGATTCCAGAAGGACTTGAGATAATTCATTTTTCGTCACCCATCCGCCAACAGGCCATTGCCTTTCGCAATAGTTTGTCGGCATGACTTCATGACTTCTACTTGGGCCATCGAAATCCTAATCCTCTTGAATAGCAAGTTGTGCCTGATTATCACGTGCAATATTCAGAGTAGTCTAATACGAAGCTTAGACTCAAGGTGTCGATTGGTGCAGTTGTTCCCACGGTTCTTTCTAGCAACAATGGGCCGGGCTCGGCACAAACGTTCTGTACGTATCGGGTTACCGACTAATTCGTGTCGCCAGCCGAGTGGAAGCAAAAAATGACACCGCATCCCGCGGGCGTACTGCGGACCGAGATACGTAGTTGAAGGAGCATTCAGTAGCGGATAATATATTTATTTATTATTATACGTAAACTAGTACTGTTTTTTTTTGCTGTTTGTCGGAAAAACAGATGGCTTGAAAGTATTTTAGTCGCACGAAAGCTGATTAACGTAAACTTGAGCTGCCCCCCAAGTATGAGCACTGCGATGAAATTAATCTGCCGTTTTTATCACGCTCAATTGTCAAATTACTATGGAGTTTGACAGTTGGGCGCGATAAAAAACGTGATATAATGTAAATTGTGGTGCTCATGTTATGGGGACTGGCTTTTTTTGCTGTTGATCGCAGACGCAGTGAATGTCCTAGGGGGTGAGATACTTAAAGGGTTCTCACCAACTTATATGTATATCAGAAATTAATTTAAAATGTTTATTTCTTAGATTATATTAGAGAAAGTCTTTTTATTTTAAAGACGAATAGAATCAAATCACTATTTTCATGTGTTCTTGCAGTAAGATAAATGTTCTTCTCCACGGGGTAGCGAATAATTTCAGGTCGGGAAAGTGAGGGTAGCACATTTTCTGTTGCCTCATTTATATCCTTAATTGGACTCAAATGACAAATAACATCAGGTTTGGTGGAGAATCAATCGCTCCAAAGGTTTGTATAAAAAAAGTTTACATCTAAATTTATATTTTCGCAAACTTTTTGACATTCCGCACCTAAAGATGACAATGGGGGTCCCATTGTCCCATTGCATAACCTCCTTTGTCCTTCTGTTAGTTACCTAGCTGTTTCTCCTGTAGCGTAATCAGTTCTCAGTTGGAATTTTCACAGAATTTTTATTTCCAACAATTACGTAATTTATTCGCGTTCTTTGCTCGACTTTAACAATAGCCATATTTTAAATGTTAAACCTTGTACATGTATGGATAGACGATGTTGAATTCCTGTTTGCATTGTGTGTTCGTTAAGCTCGGGCCGAGCCGAGATTGTTTAAAAACCTCAAGTTCGCGCTGAAACTTTGCTTCATCTCCTCACATATTAGTAAGTTAGTATAAGTTCCATTTCGGTCGAGTGCACTCGTACGTTTGAACGCAGCATTGTATTCTGACTCACGGCGCGCTCTACATAAAGACATTAAGTCAGTCTTCTATCCTCATAATGGCCACTTAAAAACTCATAAAGTGAACTCTAAGTCCGTTGATGGCCCCCGATTTTCCCTAAGATTGCGCTACTCCTTTGACAAGTAGTTCTTCAGTTTTATGGTACAGCATGGTTTTTATCGTACTCTTGTTCTTTGAAGGAAAACGAGTAGGTACCTAAAAAAACAGTCAAGTGCGATTTGAACTTACACACGAAGCGTTAGTATAGAACATTTTTCAGTATTTTTCTATAAGCTAGAGAGTCATTGTCGATTATTGAAAGCGTTTATTTTGTAACAATTAAATTTTTCAATACGAAAAACATCAACAAATTACTTCACAGAACTCACTTAATCAGAGAGTAAAATTAAACAATGAAGACTTAGATTTCGTTGAATCGACGATATGCTTAGGTATAACCAAAGACTCAAAATTGCAATGGTATCCTCATATTTCTCTGCTAGCTAGTAAACTTAGTTCTGCAGCCTATGCCATATGTAAAATAAGACACCTTACTGATGTAGCTACCGCTAGAAATGTATACCTTAGTTCATCATCATCAGCCTATTAATGTCCCCACTGCTGGGGCACAGGCCTTCCCTATGGATGGAATAGGGGGATTGGGCCATGACCCACCACGCGGGCCCAGTGCGTGTTGGTGGGTGCTAACGACTGCAGATGCAGCCGGGACCAACGGCTTAACGTGCCTTCCGAAACACGGAGGAGCTCGAGATAGTAAATTTTCGGCCACCCATCCAAGGACCGACCACTGCAAAAGTTGCTTAAATTCAACGATCGCAGCGGAACGCGCTAACCACTTGCGCCATCGAGCTCCTTATACCTTAGTTATTTTCATAGTATTGTATCCTATGGTACTGTAATGTATTAGTCCTGATTTACCTGTCAAACTTTGTAATGCAAATTTAAAGAGAGTGTTTCAATATAAATACCTTGGCCATTGGGCTACAGATACTTTAAAGGATGACATAGATATTGATAGGTGAAGGGAGGGCGCTGGCAGTTCGATGTAATATGCTGGCTCGCAGGTTCGCACGTTGTACAAAGCAAGTAAAAATTGCACTCTTCAAGGCGTATTGCCAGTCTTTCTATACGTGTAGCCTGTGGGTCCGATTTACGCAGAGGGCTTACAGCGCACTACGGGTCCAGTACAATAATGCTCTCAGGGTGCTGTTGGGTTTGCCGTGGTGTTGCAGTGCCTTTTCTTTATATAACTAGGTAGGCAAATGACTCTAGCCCACCTGATGTTAAGTAGTGATAAAGTCCAAACGCGAAGATAACTGATACAGCAGTTATAAACTGCTACACCAACCATCCTCACCTTGCCGACCCGCAAAAATGCTTCTTCACGCCTCTCATAAAGGACCCCAGATTATAGGAAGGAGGGAACACGTGCGTGGGTAAAAAAATCCACTTACGAATAGTACGACAAAGAAATGAGTCGCCAAATTCCTTTGTTCGTGTAGGAATAGTGGCCACAGTAAGTCGGTGGCAACGTAGGCCAGCGCGCGTGGTCCTCTGAAGAAAAGGTGATGGAGGGATAAGCGAGAATAGTTCCTCAGAACACTCGCCGTGGTATAGTCGGCAGAATGCCCATAATGATGCCACATCACGGCGTAATTGTAGAGACTCGAGTTTCTTGCCTCAAGTATGTTCGCAGATGTGCATATTGACGGCTTTCATGCCATAATCAGGAAACGCTGCGCGTCACTTCTGAGCAGAATACGTGGCAGCACCAACAGCATCCTGTCGGCACTGGTTGACAGGTGGGATTCACCACTGTTGGAGCGCTGGTTGCATCTGCATGCGAAGCCCCCGGGCCGCAGGGGGTACCTTGTGTTCCAGCAGGGGATGATCATATTATTTTTATTTGTAATCTATTTTATACTTTACTAGCGGCCAGCCCTCGCTTCGCTTCGGTGTAGAGCTGAAGGGTAGACTACAGTTTTTGTTCTCAGGCTTATATTATACACAATGACATTCATCTATGATTCTTCTTATATTATATAAGTCTCAGCCCGATCGGTTTAAAATTGACAAACTTTCATACAAAGTTTCATCCCCTATTTTATCCCCTTTGGGGTAGAATTGATCAAAATCCTTTCTTAGCGGATGCCTACGTCATAACATCTACCTGTATGACAAATTTCAGCCCGATCCGTCCAGTTGTTTGGGCTGTATCATATGTAGAATTGATCAAAATCCTTTCTTAGCGGATGCCTACGTCATAACATCTACCTGCATGACAAATTCAGCCCGATCCGTCCAGTTGTTTGGGCTGTGCGTTGATAGATCACTATGTCAGTCAGTCACCTTTGAGTTTTATATATATAGACTAACATAGTTTTTAAGGCACATTGTTACTAACATTCTATGAACTGTATAATATTGTCTGAGAATAAATTACTATTATTATTATTATTATTATTCGCTGGGGAACAGCAGCCGATATTGAAACTGTATTTATCTTCCAAACAAGAGCTCTAAAGGCCTTTTATCAACTAAGTTCCAGATCTCTTAGAGAATAATTAAAAGAAAGCGGGATTTTGACTGTTGCTTCACAATTCATTTATAATTGTATTCTATTTGTTCGAAGCAATATTATCTCAAACATAGTGACATACATTCTTTAAATGCAAGGAACAAAAATAAACTCAAGATACCAACTTACAGATTACAGAAGGTTCACAGATCATTCATTGGTCGAGGTGTACATTTCTATAATAAGATTCCTAATGATATTCTTGATTATTTTTTATTTATTTTTTAAGCATTTAACTGCTAGATGTTTAAATCTGAAGAAAAGTTTACTAGAAAAAAATCCACGCGGACAAGGCAGCGGACGGGACTCGAACCCGCACCCTTCGCAATCCGGGCGAATGCACTGACCATTATGCTACCACGGCCCTATTCGCCGCGTCGAAATTTTCCTAGCCTTAAGCTGCGAGGCAGCGCCATCTCTTCGCTCCGTCCGCTGCCTGGTCCGCGTGGATTTTTTTCTAGTAAACTTTTCTTTAGATTTAGATATTCTTGATTT